TAATAATAAATGAATTTAAAGATTGCGTTCAAAACTTTATTTTAAAAATATTATAACAAAACTAAAGCAAAAAAGCCTTTATTTTTCAGAGAGAGAGAGAGAGAGCAAGTTTTTATGTAAAAAATGAGATTTTAGTTTTTACAATCAAAATTTTTTATATAAATAATGAAAATTTAATAGAAAAATCAATCAAAAAAGTTATTTTAAAACTATTATGACTTTCAGAAGTACGGAAACAATAGAAATAATGTTTAAAATTACCTTATTATCATAAAAATACAACTTGCTGACAATAAATACCTGTTTGATGTAAATGTCTATCGTATGTCAGTAAAAACAAATTATGGTAAATAATATTTCTCTATAAACTGTTTATAGATAAATATCTATATATTTTGTTTGATTATTTGATGAAAGAGTTATCAACAGTTAATATCAATTTAGTTAATACTGAATGCAATCGTGTATTATATTTGAGAAATTGATTTTCAACGCCTCAGTCAAAGGGTAATGTCTTTTTGATAGTATCGGTAAATATAATTGATTAAATCATGATAAATATGTTTGGTGACCCGTTCATCATGGGCGTCTAGTCTAATATAATTAAATTAAATTTAATAAACAACAAAAACATTTTAATTTATAGGGTTTGTGATCGATTATGGTCAAGTGTATGGGGATAAGGGGGTGGGCGTAAACCCGGTGCTGATTTAAACACTACATAACTGATTGTTAATTATACAAAAGTGACTCGTTTTATAAGTAAACACAAAACTAATTAATCAAATAAAATCAACATAATTTAGGAAATGAATATGGTCAAGTGTCTAGATTACTTTACCTTGATTTAGTTTTATTCTGTGTTTAATTTTATTTGATACTATTTTTATAAATAGTTTCTAACATTTATTAAACAATTCATTGTTTGTATTTATTATTTACAATAAATATATAAAATACAAAACTACTTATAATTTTTATGAAATTACCTAGAATTACTAAATAGAAATATACAGACTAGCGATCATGATAAATTAACCAAGTGCCACTCCAAATAATATCGAATAAAAATAACAATAAGGTTAAACAGATGATATAAACAATAAATAAAATTTCCTAAATAGTAAAAAATTCTGGAGAAAAATCAATTTTTGTTGTAATTTATTATTTTATTTATAATTCGTTTTGTTTATACAATAATATTATAATAATAACAAAAACTTTGTATTTCTTTCCTATGCTTTCATTGTTTTTGGTTTGTATTTCGTTTTGTTTTGTAATTTTTGTTGTGAATAATTAAAACTCAAGACTTATTTCTCTATACAATTATTTGGTGAATAAAAACCGTATTAATTATTAATACAAAACGAGGTAATCATGAAAAATAAAAACTTATATATAAATTATAATCACATATAGAAAGGTATATAACATATATATAATACGGTATTTAATAATTACAATAATAATTAAAATTCAGGGTAAAAATTGCAATAATAATAATACAAATAATTGTCTCATAAAATTAAAACAAACAATAATAATAAAATACTTAATTAAAAAATGCAAATCATTATAACCTTAATAAAAAAATTTATACACAATTCAGCAATCATTTTAATATACAAGACTACATGTCTGGCCGTTGGGTCAGTCCATCCGTACAGTCGGGTGCTCTCAACTCTCAGCCGGAATAACAGCCGGAAAAACAGGACGACTGACCGGACTTTTGATTGTCTTGACCGACGGCCACACCGGCGGCGGAGCCGGACTCGTGGCCACCATTACTGCCGGCCAACTGTCGGCGTTGGACACACACGTCGGCGATCTCGTAGAAAAGTTTCTCAACGTTGTCCGCCTGGAGGGCCGACGTCTCCATGAATAGGTCAAACTCGTTGCTGACGGCAAACTGCTCGGCGATGTGCTCAGGTATCTCACGGTCTTTGTCGCACTTGTTTCCCACCAACACTTTCAGCACCGATCGGTTACCATTGCCCGTCGCTAATAGGTATATAGAAAGTACATATTAATTAATGATCATGGTAAGTTATGATGGGGGGTGTTCATGAATGGTGAAGCACTTTATGCTAGCTTTTAATTAACTTCCAAAACTCAATTTATAATCTCGATTTTTTAAATCTAGATTTTTAAGTAATTGGTGTAGGTTAGTTTGCTAGATATAATGCAATACCCTGGTCATTTATGAGAAGTTGGTGGTTACTTACCCCCGGCGTACTGTTCCATATCTCGACACCATTGGTGCAGCGAATCAAACGATGGTTGGGAACTGATATCGTAGACCAACATTAGACAGTGGGCCGACCGGTAATAGCTCTGAGTAATACTACGGAACCGCTCCTGACCAGCCGTATCCCATATCTGGAGTTTTACTTTTACGCCTATGGTTGAAACAAAACAAAAAATTAATAAACCATGTTTAGATTTTATAGTTAGTATTTTATGGTATAAACTTTATATATGTTATGATAACATTTATATAATTAAAAGTACTAAATGTCGTTACGTTTTGTATTTATATGGTGTTTAGGGTTAGCAATAAAAGCATTAGATTATAATAAATGCAATAATAATAAAATTGTTTTTTGTTGTTACTTTTGGGAGGGTGTATGTATTAGACTCTCTCTCTCTCTCTCTCTCTCTCTCTCTCT